CGGTGGGTGGTGATTACTAGCTGCCTTCCCTCTAGTCCTACACTGCTAAATTAGGGACGGCTAGCGCAGATAGCCCTCGTGGAGCTTTGCGCGAAATTCAAAAAACAAACAAACAATCGAACAAACTCTGATTTCACAAAATATTACCCTAACCTAATCAAGATAGAATCAATAGAAACATAAAATTCAGTTTAAATGTAAATACTTCAAACTAAGCGTTTCAGTAAAACTCGAGTGGATATTTATAATTCTTAAGACTTCTCAACTTACACATGGTAAAGAGTTTTTCAGATGTTTTTTTTTTAATTTATTTTCGGTTCCTTTTAATTAAATTACCTTTTCTGGTAAAATAGTAATCCATTTGTATTTTTTGAAACATTTTTGTTCCTTCTCTGTTAAGATAATTAAACGTGATATAAAATAGGGTTACTAGTTCGTGTTTTTTAGTTAATACTTAGAGTTTGTTTTCTCCATGATTACCTATGTACTTATCTACATACTTACTACGTCTTTCAATAGGTACACAGCGAGGACGATGTCTATTGCTGTGGTACAGGATACGGTAGTAACCCACGGAAGAAGCATGCCTTTACTGTCCTGCCGTTGACGTTATAGATGAAAATATTCAAACAGAACTTAGATATATTTGATTATAGCATCAACATTAAATCAGCAGAATGTAGCCTTAAACAACATTTGGTAACAATCTTTCATGTGTGTAACTATCACAAGAACTTTTAATAAGTCCAAAATTATTGATTGTTTAACAAACATAATTTACAAAAAAAAATTACTATATGACCTGAAATCTGAAAAAAAAGGCTCAAGACTGTGACTTCCAAACTGATTACGATTACTGATCTTTAACAAACATAATTTGTAAAAAATATATAATATAAAAAACGCTCAAGACTGTGAATTCCAAACTGATTACGATTACTGATCTTTAACAAACATAATTTGTAAAAAATATATAATATAAAAAACGCTCAAGACTGTGAATTCCAAACTGATTACGATTACTGATCTTTAACAA